TCGCCCCCCCCCCCCCCCCCCTCGCTCTACCATCCACTCTGCACAAAGCAGTACACATTTTCCAAAAATAGACACCAGCGTGTGTCCCCCCCCCCATGCTTAACGCCTCCCAGTAGCATCCCATGACGTTTAGAAGAGACCCCCAGCTCCCACAAGTCCTCGCAGGGTGCTCGTCTGTCCAGCTCTCCCCATTCTAGAAGTCAGTGTAAACTCCAGTCACGTAGAGCAGGCCAGACTCAGCCTGCCTCCAGACCTCTATGCCTGCTGTCCTCTGCTGGGTCCCTCCTTTCCTAGTGGGACCAGCAGATGGCATAATGGTTATGTCGCTGGACTCTCACGTACTTGACCACAGTTTGAGTCCCAGACCTGGCAGCTTAAAAAATTCATGTGGGGGGCCGGCAGGTGACGTGGTGGTTAAAGGTGCTGGATTCCCACATGGCCTACCATGGTTCAGGTCCTGGATGTGGCGGCCTACGCAGCACCTAAGGGCTCCCACTTTTTTTTTTTGGAGGGGTTTTTTTTGTTTTTGTTTTTGTTTTTTTTTTTAATTATTGGGCGCATGCGCTCGCCAGAAAGACAGAGAGACAGAGAGATAGAAAGCGAGAAATCACACCAGAGGGGATGGTCACACCATAATCCCTTCTCCTCCATTCTCCTCTCAGGATCTTGGGCATGCACACACACGCGCCCAGCATGAGTTTAAGTCAGCAGTTCTGGGACTCAAACCGCGGTTGACTACATGGGAGTCCAGCAACATAACCATTACACTAACTGCTGGTCCCTGGACTCCTACTTCTTGATTCAGGGCTCTCTGAGTTCCCACACACCACAGTACTGTAAATTCCTTTTAAACTTCACTTTGGGGGCGCCAGCAGATGGTATAGTAGTTATATTGCTGGACTCCCACACAGCTGACCACAGTTCAAGTCCTAAACCTGGTGGCTTGGGACTCATGCTGGGTGCATGTGCGTGCATGCCCAAGATCCCAAGAGAAGGGATTGTGGTGTGGCCATCCCCCAGAGAGTGACTTCTCACTGTCCTTCCCTCTCACTGTCTCTCTCTCTCTCTCTCTCTCCAGGGGATGCATGCGCCCTAAGGCAAAAACCTCTTTAAAAAAAAAGTTCACTTTGGCTTCATTTGGTTTCCTTCTCAAAACTATTGAAAGAACCTCCTTTATACAAGGGCAAGCTGGGACACCACTGCAGAGGGAAGACGCTTTCTTTGTTCATTTAAGTGCTCACCGCCCCCTTTCTCCCACTCTACTTGAACCACCTGCCTCTCTGAGTGTCACATCAGCCATCTGCTAAAATGAGCTTTTACCCGTACAAAGACATTTTGAGATGAAAAAGCAAACTACAAAATTAGAAAGCTATCTGAGAAGTCGATCTGCGCATGAGCGGCTGAGAACGCCGCGTGCGTTTGCCATGGAAACCGTGTTATAAATGGTGAGCTCTGTGGGGCTACGAGATTATGAAACAGATCTCAGGTTGCACCTCTTCCCTCCATCTCACTGTCACCATCCAAGTCACTCCCACTCAGGCCACCGCAGCCCCTAGCCCCTCCCCCACTCTCCCCAGCTCTACCATCCACTCTGCACAAAGCAGTACACATTTTCCAAAAATAGACACCAGCGTGTGTCCCCCCCCCCATGCTTAACGCCTCCCAGTAGCATCCCATGACGTTTAGAAGAGACCCCCAGCTCCCACAAGTCCTCGCAGGGTGCTCGTCTGTCCAGCTCTCCCCATTCTAGAAGTCAGTGTAAACTCCAGTCACGTAGAGCAGGCCAGACTCAGCCTGCCTCCAGACCTCTATGCCTGCTGTCCTCTGCTGGGTCCCTCCTTTCCTAGTGGGACCAGCAGATGGCATAATGGTTATGTCGCTGGACTCTCACGTACTTGACCACAGTTTGAGTCCCAGACCTGGCAGCTTAAAAAATTCATGTGGGGGGCCGGCAGGTGACGTGGGGGGTCAAGGGGACGTGGTGGTTAAAGGTGCTGGATTCCCACATGGCCTACCATGGTTCAGGTCCTGGATGTGGCGGCCTACTTTCTCACTTTCCCTTTCTCTCTCTCTCTCTGTCTGTCTGGTCAAATTTAAAAAATAATAACAACAACAACAAAGGGAATTAATTAAATAAACAATTCTTAAAAAAAAAAAAACAAAAAACTCATGCTGGCTGCATGTGCATGCATACAATGGAGAAGGGACTGCAGCATGGCCATCCCCCTAGGGAGTGATTTCTCATTTTCCTTCATTTACCTCCTCTCTCAAAGCCAGGTCGACTTCTTCAATTTCTCTTACCTCCTCTCCTGTTCTCTTTGCCGTCACCTTTTGATTCTCTTGCTTTATTACATTTTGAGCAGGAAGTAAAGCTAAACACACGGATCTAGCACTTTTCATCAGTATTTAGGTGCCCCCCCCCATCTGCCAGCTCTTTTATATCATCTCTCACAGGACTCTGACAGCCAACGGTGGGGTTTTGGTTCACAAAGCAAAGAAATACAAAGAAGAGAAGGATGTGAGATAATCTGGGCCAGAGTTAGAAGAATAAAGAGTAAAGGAGAATGAAGTTTAAAAAGCCCTACACGCCCACGTGCACAGGGAATATTTAGAGCAGGAATAACCCGCCGATGGCTAGTCGAAGCTGGTCAAGGGCAAAGCTTGGGGTGCTTTGAGCAGCATGAAGAACAGAACCTACAGAGTGTCTTAGCTTCCTGCACTGACCACCGGGTGGCACTGCTGGCCCAAGACAGCCAGGGGGATAGGCTCACAGACAATGGGAAGGCAAACAGGAAGCTGAAGGTTGTCTAGGTGAGTCATTCACAAGGCTTTACCTGGGAAAATGGCTTCGCAGATGTGTGGCACTGAAGGGTTATTATTTGACCAAAATGATACACTAGAAAACCCACGGGCTAGATACCATAACTGTGTTAGCTGATCCCAAACCCAGCTATCACATATAATAAATACTCCAGACCTACTGAATCAGAATTTCTAGAGATGGAGTTCTGGAATTCATTTTTAGTGAATTCTTCAGTGGTTCCAATTTATAATTAAGTTTGGAACACAATCTAAAAGGGATTCTGCATATTTTTAAATACCCAATGACATCAGAGTAGCTGGGAATATTGATATTAACTCTTCAATGCTAACAACATAAATAATCCACCCTCCAAACACTAACAGTAATTCCTTAAGCTTACACTGCCTTCCTTCCTTCCTTCCTTCCTTCCTTCCTTCCTTTCTTTTTTTGGAGAGGTTTTTGCTTCAAGACACTCACCAGAAAGACAGAGAGAGACAGAAAGCGAGAAATCACTCTCCAGTGGGGATGGCCATATTGTAATCCCTTCTCCTCCATTCTCCTCTCAGGATCTTGGACACACACGCACATGCACCCAGCGTGAGTTTAAGCCACCGTGTCCGGGGCTCAAACCTCAGTCAACTACATGTCCAGCGACATAGCCATTACACCAACTGCTGGTCCCATCTTTTTTTCTTTTTTTTTTTTTTTTAAGAATTATGTATTTATTATTTTTTTTATATAAATTTGACCAGAGAGAGAAGGAAAGCGAGAAAGCAAGCCACTGGGTCCTGAACTGAACCCGTAGTCAGCCATGGGGGCGTCCAGTGCTTTAACCACCAAGGCACTTGCCAGCCCCAGGCTTATGCTTTCCAAAAGCTTTTTTGTTTGTTTGTTTTGAAGAAATATTTATTTAATTTTATTTATTATTATTATTATTATGTTTAAATTGCTATAGGATATATGTGTTCACCAGAGAGAGAGAGAAAGAGAGAGGAAAAATGAGAAAGCAAGCTGCCAGGTCTAGGATTCGAACAGTGGTTGGCCATTTGGGAATCCAGCACCATAACCACTCACAACCCCTAAGCCCCCCGCCTCCCCTTTTTTTTTTTTTTAAAGAGATTTTTGCTATAGGGCACATAAGTTTGCTGGAGAGAAAGACAAAAAGCAAGAAATCACCCCCTAAGAGGGATGGCCACACTGCAATCCCTTCTCCAACCTCCTCTTGGGATTTTTGGCATGAACGCACACACCCAGCAAGAGTTTTAAACCACTAGGTCTGGGACTCAAACTGCTACTCATTACGTGGGAGTCCAGCAATGTAACCATTACACCATCTGCTAGTCCCTTGTTTGTTTTTTTTCTTTGAAAGATTTTTTTGTGTGTGTGTGTAAGGCACATGTGCTCACCAGACAGGCAGAAAGAGACAAAGATAGAAAGTGAAAAATCACTCCCCAGGGGGGATGGCCATGCCACAATCCCTTCTCCTCCATTCTTTCAGGATTCTGGGCACTCACACACATGTGCCTGGTGTGAGTTTCAAGCCTCTGGGTCTGGGACTCGAACCGCGGTTGCCCGTGTGGAGTCCAGCACTTTAATCACTAATTGGCTAGCCCAAATTAGTAAACTTTTAAGAGCAGTTTTAGGTTTGGAGTAAAACTGACAGACAGTACAGAGACAGCGTTTAAAAGTAGCTCATTTGAAAATCAGTCGCCACCACTCCTGCTAGCACTCTGAGCGTGGGAGTAGAGACAGCGTTTAAAAGTGGCTCATTTGAAAATCAGTCGCCACCACATCATGGTGTTTTCACACCGCGAAGTCTCGTCCTTTCCAGCTAACCCTACGTACCGTTCTTGAATGACTTTGGAGTAAGCACCAGCGTTCAACGTTTTTCTGATCAGGTCACAAATGTGAGAGCTCTCTCCTGGGCATCGAGGGAGTCCAAAAACACCTACAAAGTAAAAGACAAAGATCAATTTCTTCCAAAATCATGTACTGAATGCCAGTATGAGCAAGGTACCATGAGAAACAAAAACAGACAGGAACCAGACTCTGATCTCATTCATTCATTCTCAAAAAAAGAAAATATCTTGAAGACAAACCATACCCAGCCTCTTCTGGCGTTCCACATGCCCTTCTGCCTCTGGACCTTAGCACCTGCTTCTGGACTGCATCACATGGCTGGACTCGTTCTCGTCTCTAGCTTCAGGTCTTAGCTTTGGAAGTCCTACCTGACTACACTAACTCAGCCATTCCCATCTCTACTTCCTTCCCCTACCCCCAGTTAGACTTTCTTATAGAGAGAGATTTTTGCTATAGGGTGTGTATGCTTGTCAAACACGTAGACAGAAAGTGAGAAATTACCCCTTCGGGGGGGGTGGTGGGGGAGGTGGTCGTGCCCCAATCCCTTTTCCTTCTTTCTCCTCTTGGGATTTTGGGCACGCACACACACACGCCCGGCATGAGTTTTAAACCTCAGGTCTGGAACCTGAACCATGGTAGGCTACATGGGAGTCCAGTGATGTAACCATTACGCCATCTACTGGTCCTTAAAGGTTTTTTTTTAACCAGTGTGACCAAGGAATCATGTAGGTTAAAATGCAATAAAACACAGGTAGAAAGGTCAAAGTTACCTTGGTGCTGGCCCCCAACTGAGATCAGGTTGACCATGGGAGGTGATGGGCATCTCTGAACCACTGCCCTCCTGGGAGAGAAAAAGAGGCTTATGAATTCTGTCGGATGGAAGTGCTTCATTAACACTCAGTTTCAGAAATTAAGATTCTTTTTTTTTTTTTGGAGAGGTTTTCGCTATAGGGCGTGTGCGCTCGCCAGACAGACAGAGAGACAGAAAGCGAGAAATCACCCCCCAGGGGGGATGGTCACGCCGCAATCCCTTCTCCATTCTCCTCTCGGGATCTTGGACATGCACGCACACGCGCCTGGCATGAGTTTTAAGCCACCGGGTCCGGGACACGAACCATGGTCGACTACGTGGGAGTCCAGCGACATAGCCATTACACTAACTGCTGGTCCCGAGAGATTAAGATTCTTAATCCTCAGAGCCAGCAGGTAGCGTAGTAGCTAAGGCACCTGACTCCTACATGGCTGACTGCGATTCAAGTGCTGGACCTGGTGGCTTAAAACTCATGCCAGGCGCGTGTGCGTGCATGTCCAAGATCCCGAGAGGAGAATGGAGAAGGGATTGCGGCGTGACCATCCCCCCTGGGGGATGATTTCTCGCTTTCTGTCTCTCTCCAGTGCCTTAGCTACTACGCTACCTGCTGGCTCTGAGGATTAAGAATCTTTTTAATTAAAAAAAAAATTTTTTTTTTAATTAAAAAGATTCTTAATCCTCTAGGATTCCCCACAGCCACAGCATTTTAGGATGTTCCTCAGATATGGCCAAACACAAGTCTTTACTCTTTCAGAGGAAATATATTAAGTTCCATAGAGCTTCAGCGTACTTTTCAAAGTTGCCAGGTCCGGGACTCAAACCATGAAATCAGCCATGTGGGATCTATCACCTGACCTCCACACCACCTGCTGGTCCTCCATAGAGCTTCTTATGGAGGGACATTTTGGAATAATTTTCCTCTCAAGATAGGTAAGGATCTCAAATGAATTTGTGGAGTGTATTGATCTGAATAAGAGGGAGAAAATGTATTCTACATAAGGGGCATAAAATAACAGAAAGATACCTACAGAAACTGGCCTCCCTGGGAGAATCCCATAGCATTGTAGCCTTTCTGCAGTTCAGGATCCTTAGCAAGAAGCTGACACACCATTGCAACTTGGGAATTAACATTCAAGAAGAAGCTGTTTTCCACATCCTAAAAAAAAAAAAAAAAAAGAGCCACGGTAGTGAAAGGGTGGGACTGAAAACAACCACCAACTCTTCTCAAGAAGAGAACTTGTTTAAGGTGATGTCTTCGGGGCTGGCAGGTAACATGGTAGTTAAGGAACTTGACTCCCCCATGGTCAACCACAGTTCAAGTCCCGGACCTAGCAGCTTGCTTTCTCATTTTTCCTCCACTCTGTCTCCCTCTGGTCAAATTAAAATAATAATAATAACAACAACAAATACAAATAAGTAAATAAATAATTCTTTTTTAAAAAGAGAGATGTCCTCACATAAGCCATTAAGGGTGAAAGTATCATTATATGATTTGGTGCTAAAAATATAAGACAAAACACTTGCTTTGCACATTCTATGAACTCAATCAGTAAACTTTCAAAAGGACAGAGTGGTGAAGGGCCTTACCTCCAGCATGTTCTTCCCAATCTCTAAAGATAAGACGTAAATTCCAGGTATTTTCTTCTCAACCATTTTCTTAACAGCACCCATACTTAAGGGATTACAACAGCTGTCACCTAGCCAACAAAAATGATCATAGAAATCCATGAATCAAAACAATATGATATTACCCTTTTGTGCCTTCATGGGCATTATCAAGATCCAAAAAGACAATATACAGAATGGGAGAAAATACTTACGAAACATCTCTGATAAGGGTTTACTATCCGGAATAGATAAGGAACACTTAGGGCTTGACCAGAAGACAAACTTCATCTTAAACTGAGAAAAGGACTCTGGCGTTTCTCCAAAGAAGATACAAATGGCCAGCAACATGTACACAAAAAGACGTTCCACATCACCAGTCATTAGGGAAATGGAACTCCAAACCACAGTGAGATACCATTTCGTACCCACCAGGATGGCTTTAATCATAATAATCTGGAGACCGGCCCATGGACTGGCTCCCACATGGCTGGCCTTGTGGTTTGGTAGCTTGAGAGACACGACTGGCACTTGCGCATGCTCAAAACCCTAGTAGAGGGAGGGATGAAAGAAGGGGGATTACAGCGAGTTCACGCCCCATGGGGGATGCTTTCTCTTTCTCCCTCTCTCTTTCTCTCTCTCAGAAGTGCACACACCCTCTGGCAAATGAATGATAATAATTTAAAAACAAAATCAGAAAACATCAAGTGTTGCCAAGGACATGGAGAAGGAGAAACTTTATTCATTGTTGGTGGGAATGTAATATGCAGCCATTGTGCAAAACAGTTTGGAGCTCCCTCAAAAAAGTTAAACATGCATTACCATACAGCCCAGCACGTCTACTCCTAGGTAATGGACCCAAGAGAGATGAAAACATACTCCACACAGAAATGTGTACATCAGTATCAACAGCAGCATTATTTGCAATAGCCAAAAGGTGGAAACAACCCAAATATTCACCAGGAATGAATGGATGGGGCCAGCAGGTGGCGTGGTGGTTAGGGTATTGGACTCCCACAGGGCTGACTGCAACTCAGAGTCCCAGACCTGGTGGTCTGAAAACTCACACCAGGTGTTTGTGTGTGTGTGTGTGTGTGTGTGTGTGTGTGTATGTGCATGCCCAAAATCCTAGGAGTAGAATGGAGGGGTGATTTCTTACTTTCCCTCTCACTCTCTCTCTCTGGCAAACGCACACACCCTATGGCAAAAACTCTTAAAATAAATTTTATAATAATTATTTAATTTTATTTATTATTCATATTTTAAAATTTGCTATAGGGCACATGTGCTCACCAAAGAGAAACAGTGTGAGAGAGAGAGAGCGAGCGAGAGAAAGTGAGAAAGCAAGCCACCAGGTCCAGGACTCAAATCACAGTTGGCCACATGGGAGTCTAACTCTTAAGCACCATACCACCTGCTGGCTCCAAAACAAATAATTTTTTAAAAATTAAACCAAAAAAAGATAAACATATTGTGGTATACCCATATAGCAAAATATTATTCAGCCACAAAAAGGAATGAAGTTTGGACACATGCTATAACTTGGATGACCTCAAAAACAATTATGCTCAGTAAAATAAGCCCAGACACAAAAGACTACATACATGATTCCTTTTATACAACGCTATGGCTTCAATATGTCCCCTGAAAATTCACATGTCAGGACTTAATTGTATTGATGGTATTGTAAAGCAACGATCCTAAACTTTCTTGGCACCAGGGACCAGGTACATGGAAGACAACTTTTCAGTGGACGAGGGGTGGGGGATGGTTTCAGGATGATTCAAGCACATTACATTGTAATATATAATGGAGTAATTATACAACACACCATAATGCAGTATTTACAGCCATTCCCCAGTGCTAGCATCACCACCTCAGCTCTACCTCAGATCATCAGATATTAGATTCCAAAGGAACGCACAACCTAGATCCCTCACATTGCAGTATGAACTGCACATGAAGCGTGATCTCACAGTAATCTGACAGGAGGCAGAATTCAGGGTGAGATCTAGTGCAAGGTGATTGGTTCACGGTGAGTGCATCATGGGGCAAGAGTCTCAAGAATAAATTAATGATATCTCACGAGACCCAATTTGTTCTAGCTTTGGTGAGAAGGGATTAGTTCTCCCAAGAGCTGGTTGTTATACAAGATAGATCAGTTAGGAATGTTTTCTCTCTTTGCATGGGACTGCCATCCCCTGCACATCCTCAGCCATGCTGTAGGCCCAGGCCTTTGGACATTCCAGCCACCAAAGCTGTGATTATTAAATCCTATTTCTTTATAAAATTACCCAGGCTCAGGTGTTTCTGGTAGCAACAATAAAAAAACAGACTAAGACATATAATATAACCAGAATAAGCAAATCCATTGAGACAGAAGGGGTGAACATTAGCAGGGTAGGAGGAGGGAGGAGTGAGGAGTAATTACTTAATGAGCACAGGTGTTTTCCTAAGGTGTTGAAAAGTTGTTTTTTTTGTTTTGTTTTGTTTTTTTGAGAGTTTTTTTTGCTATAGGGCACATGCGCTCGCCAGACAGACAGAGAGAGATATAGAGACAGAAAGCGAGAAATCACCCCCCAAGGAGGATGGTCACGCCGCAATCCCTTCTCCTCCATTCTCCTCTGGGATCTTGGGCACGCACACACACGTGCCCGGCGTGAGTTTTAAGCCACCGGGTCTGGGACGCGAACCGCGGTTGACTACGTGGGAGTCCAGCGACATAGCCATTACATTAACTGCTGGTTCCCCCTACGGTGTTGAAAAGTTTTGAAACTCGAGAGAAGCGGTGGTTGTCATCCATTATGAACACACTAAGTGCCTCTGCGTTATACACTTTAATTTTGAACTGGGGCTAGCAGGTGGTGTGGAGGTCAAAGCACTGGACCCCAAATGACCAGCTGTGTAGTTTGAGTTCTGGACCCAGCAGCTTGAGACTCAGGCCGAATGCATGTACATGTGCGCCCAAAACCCTGAGAGGAAAATGGAGAAGGGATTGCAGCGTGGCCATCCCCACTGGGAGGTGACTTCTCACTTTCCTTCTCTCTCTGTCTCTCTGTCTCTGACTCTGGTGAACACACGCACCATAGAGTAAAAGCTAAAAAAAAAAAAAAAAAAGCTGAACTATATGTTACATGAATTTTACCTCAATAAAAAATAAAGAAAGAAAAGAAAAATAATTTCTTTCTTGATTCCTGTTTATCAAGTAAAAAATAACGAGTTTCAAAAACCTATACAAGGGGACCAGCGGGTAGCGTGATGGTTAAGGCACTGAACACTCCCACACAGCTAACCGTGGTTCAAGTCCTGGACCTGGTGGCTTGCTTTCTCTCTCTCTCTCTCTGTGTCTCTCTGTGGCCAAATTAAAATAAATGAATGAATAAATAAAATAATTCTTAAAAAAAAAAACCATACAATATAATCAGGACACCAAATATACGAGTGAACATAAGCAGAAGGGCAGGTCCCTCTCCCTCATATGGGATACATGGGTGAACAGACCCCAAGCTTTCTGCTTTAGGGCCAGGACTACAGCGAGGTGAGCGAGCTCCTGGGGACGGGATGTAAGGAAGCACTGACTCGTGGGAGAGCGCAAGTGCTGATCCTGAACTTGGACAGACATAAGAGTGCCTCGTCACCCTTCACTCCATGCCACCACTCCAAAGTCTAAGACCTGTTTCTTTTCCTGTTCCGGGAAAGGAGAACTAAGAACCAGAAACAAACTGACTAACATCTGAGTGGGACTCGTGGAATGAGATCACTTCCCATGTTGAATTTAGTCAGCCTACTTTCAACCCGAAAAGAACCAGCTTAAAGAAAGGAGAGCTATGGCCTATGGAATCTTCTATTTTGTCCTGGCCACAGTCGCCACACTGAACTGCAGTTGCTGGTTACTTAGCTGCCGCCCCTGCGGACTGACAGAGCTGGGAGAGCTCAGAGCAGCTCTCTGTTTCCTCTTTCTCCCTCTTTATTTTCCTGGGGCTGCACAGTTTGAGCCCCGGAGCTGGCAGTGAGAAACATGCTGGCCGTGTGTGTGTATGTGTGTGTGTGTGTGTGTGTGTGTGTGCCCCAAATCCCAAAAGGATGGAGAGAGGACAGAGCACACGCATGTGCACAGAGATAGAGATGAGCACTCGCTGCGGGTCTGGTGACCCTGCAGTCCCATTCCTCCAGTCCTCCAGCTCATCAGATCGTGGGCACTTGTGCGCATGCCCAGCATGTTTCAGGGACTACTACAGCAGGGTTAAGAGAGCACTCAGGACTCAGTGGTGATGTGGTGCTCAGGACCAGCCAGATGCCACATGCCAACTAGGGTGAGGATCCCCAGCCTGGCCAGAGAGAAAGTGAGAAAGCAAGCCACCAGGTCTGGGACTCGAATCACGGTCAGCCATGTGGGAGTCCAGCGTCCTTAATCACCACACCACCTGCCGGCCCCTTGAGTGATCTTCATATTGGTGAATCCAATCATCAATGCTCAGCCCTTACTTGACCCAGGTGATCACTCTCTCTTGAATCATTTTCCTCACTTGGCTTCCAGGACACCTCCGCCTCATTGGTTAGTCCCTCACTGTCTCCTTTGCTAGTTCCTCCTCGCCTCCTCCACCTTCAGATGCCAGAGTACCCAGGATTCAGTCCGCGGCATACACATACTCCCTAGGGGATCTCACCAACTCTCAAGCATTGAAGACTAGGTAATGCTCCCAACTTGAATCTCCAGCCTGTATCTGTCATAGACTCCACAGGCCTGTACATCTACTGAACGTCTAGCAGGATTTCAAAGTCAGCAGGCCCAAAAGCAGAGTCTCGATTTCTCCCCTCCCTGAGTCTGTTCACCCTCCAGGCTCCCCCACGTTGGTAAAATGACAACTTTATCCTTTTAGTTCTCAGGCCAAAACCTGTGGTGTCATCTTTGACTTTTTCTCTTATCCCACATATAATCTGTTGGCAAATTCCATAGTTTCCATTATCAAAATGTATCCAAACTTCCAGGCTAGCCCATGGTGTGGTGGTTAAAGAGGCTGGATCCCACATCACTGACTACATGGTTTGAATCCCAGACCCAGCAGTTGAGAAGCATGCCAGGTGTGGGGCCAGCAGGTGGTGTGGTGGATAAGGGCACTGGATTCCCACATGACCAACCATGGTTCAAGTCCTGGACCTGGTGGCTTGCTTTCTCACTTTCCCTTTCTCTCTCTCTCTCGTCAAATAAAGAAAAAAAAAATAACAATAATAAATAGAAATAAATAAATAATTTTTAAAAAAAAGAAAGAAAGAAAGAAACATGCCAGGTGTGTGTGTGAGTGCCCAAAATCCCCAAAGGAGAGAGGGAGGAAAAGGGATTGCAACATGACCACTCCTCATGCAAGGGGGTGGGGGTGGTGGGTGTTTCTCGTGTTCTTTTTCTCTCTACTAAGCACACATGCCCTCTGACAAATCAAAAACTATATATTTATGTTTTATATATATAAATATCTCGGAACTTTGATGACTTCTCAACACCTATGCTGTTACTACCCAACTGCAAGCCACCATCTCTTGGTTAAACGACAACTGCTTGCTAACTTGTTGCCCTGCAACTGTCCACTACCCCGTCCAGTCTGTTCTCAGTACAGCAACTAGCCTGACCCTGTAAAGTGTAAAGCAGATCACGTCACTCAGCTGGTGGAGCCCCCAGGGGTTCCCATCTCACTCTAGCCAAAGTCCCTGTATCAGCCTTCATAGACCGAGCAGCATCTGTATCCAACAACATCTGTATCCAGCAGCATCTGTATCCAACCCCAACATAAATCCCCATTCTCTTCCCCTTGCTCGCTCAGTCCCAGCCACACTGACCTAGGTGCTGGCTGAACACACCTGACACGCTGCTGCCTCAGGGCCTTCGCATTTGCTGTCCTGTCCACCACCTCTCCAAATGGCACCTTCCCTCATCCACTTTGTGCCTTCACTCAGACGCCGCTTTCTCAGTGAACCCTTTCCTGACTGCTCTATAAGATTTCACACCCCAACTTTCAGCCTATAACAAACCCTCACTTTATTTTTCTCTTGCACTTATCACATTTGACATTTATATGTTTTACTTATCTTTTTCTTTATTGTCTTTCTCTCTCACTGGAAACTAAGTTCCAAAAGAACAAAGAATTAGTCTGTGCGGTCTCCTCAGTACCTAACAGGTGCTCGCTAACTATGTGCTAAACGTCCAGATGGACTCCAGGGAGGTGCCTCACCGATCTCCGTGCACTGTGAACCAACAAAGAGACGGATGTGCCGGCCATGGAGCCACAGCTGGCTCGCCGGCCCAAGTGCCAGAGATGGTACCCAGACGCCACCACTGCGAGCATCGAACCAGGACAGCACGCCAGTATGCAACGCAGCGCAAGCGTCCCTCGCCTTCTCCGTATCAAATGCAGAAGAGCCTCCCCCCGTCGACCCTGAAACGCTGGGCCAGCCTCCAGAGCCGCATTCTGCAGACTCGAACCCAGGGAGAAGCGAGCGAGCGAGCGAGTCGCCAAACCCTTCGGCCCTCTGCTCACCCACTCACCCATGCCATGCCAGATCACCAGCGGCAGCGGCGTGGGCGGGTCGAGATGCCCCGGCGCCCCGGCAACGCAGGACCAGGACAGGAGAGCGACGGCCAAGAGCCACAAGCAGCTGGGAGACGCCATGTTGGTCCAATCACATGACCGCGAGCACGCGACTCGGGGACTCCAGCTCCCGCAGCACCCCTAGCCGCGTGGGCGGGGACCCTGGGGCGGAGGGGGCGGCCACGCTCCGGCCGGACCGCGCTGGCGGAGCCGGGCCTGCGCCCCCTGGGCCGCCCGCCTCCGTGGTCCAGAACCGCCGCCCGGGTTGTCAGCGCTTGCTGCGTGCGACTCAGGCGCCGTGCCCAGGGCTGTGCATCTTGTCACCGAGTTCACCCTCGCAGTGTCACTGCTATGAGGATCAGGGTGTGCACGGCAGCCTGTACCCACTTCTCCCCATTGCACAGGTGAGGGCACTGAGGCACCGAAAGTGCGGGCCAGCTGCGCGGGCACAGTGAGGGCAGGCTGGTGGGTGCAAAGTCGCAGCTGTCCTCCGCCGCCCCGGACGGCCTTTGAAGTCAAAAGCTCTGAGCAGGGAAGGTAGAGGAGGGGAAGGAGGGAGGAAGAAAGGTAAGAAGGAAGGAAGGGGCTCTCTGTTAGAAACGGAATGGGGAGACCTGACTTCCAGCCAGCCAGGACTCAACGTGGCAGGACGTGGTATTTGTTCTGGATCCTGAAGAAAAGGTGGAATTTCAACAGGCAAGAATGAAATTCAGGAGAAGGACGGACATGAGCTCAGGAAGAGTAGGTGTGCTTTCTAGAAATGTAGCCTGCGGACGGACAGGAGCATCTGTGGGATGTGTGAGAGCGATGGGCGATGGAGCAATCGCTGCCTCTTTCTGCTCTAATCTCGGATCTGGAGTATTGAAGAGCCAGTCGTCAATCCTAGCCTCCTCTCCAGACTCTTCTGGCTGCTTTTATGTTCTATTGCCACATTTCATTCTCAATCCTCTTGTTATTTCAGCCCCCTGCTCAATTTTTTTTTTCCAGAAAAAAACATCAATAAGGAATTTGCTAAGTAAGTTAGGGTGTATCCACTATACAACCAACTGCTCTGAAGGCTGGCCTTAGAATGGATGAAGGAGATTTGCCTACAGTGACCTAAAAAGATGTCCTCCATATTCTGTGAACACAAAGTGGTTACAAACCTCTGCCTCCCGGCCAGAAGCATTCTATTCAATGCTGTTGGGGCTAGCATTAGTTGCTCATAGAAAAAGCCAACTGAAATGTAAAATTATAAAGCACTATACAATATACCTGTCAGCAGAAAATAACAAACTCTAAAAAATTAATAATTAATAGTTATTGTGGCTTATTTCCATGCAGAATATGAGTGACCTAGGCCCGGAGAGGAGGCAGAATATGCCTTTCTCTTGGGGTGATCAGGTACAGGAGTTCCTTTTAATTTGATTTTGAGAGCGAGAGACAGAGTTTGAAATTTAGTGAAACGTTTTCCATTGGTCTTGTCCAAAAAGGCAGGGCATGTGGAAGCAGGGGCTTGTAGGTTATAGGTGGGTTTTACAGCTTTTAGGGTAGTGATTGGAAAAGGAAGATTGTTGACATCAGAAAGGAATGTACTTTAACAGTGATAAGGAGCCTTCATATACTCACAAAGATACCCCAGTACTATGCCAAGGGCAGGATATAGGAAGAATCCTGTTACTAATGGGCCAAAATGGTCTGTCAACATCTGGGGGCAGCGACTCCCCCTAGACCCTCTGGAAATTACTTTAGAAATGCCAAGGGCAGGATATAGGAAGAATCCTGTTACTTATGGGCCAAAATGGTCTGTCAACATCTGCGGGCACGACTCCCCCTAGACCCTCTGGAAATTGCTTTAGAAAAATAGGAAAAAGCAGTCAGCCTTCTGTCCACTTACCATTTAGTTTGTTTTAAGAGAAATAAGCTTGGGCCGCCACATAGTGCAGTGCTTAATCTGTGTGCACAGGGAACCGGATCACACCTGGAGGACACAGGTTCAAGTTCTGCCCTGAGGGCTTAGAAAACACTTGGGGTTGGGCCTGGCAGGTGATGTGGTGGTTAAGGGCTCTGAACTCCCACATGGCCAAACACGGTTTGAGTCCCAGACCTGGTAGCTTGCTTTCTCACTTTCCCTTTCACTTTCTCTCTGTCTGATCAAATTTAACAATAATAGCAAATGAAAGAAAATTAAATAATAAATAGGAATAATTACTAATTCTTAATTATTCATTCATTTATTTTAATTTGACCAGAGAAAGACATAGAGAGAGAGAAAGTGAGAAAGCAAGCCACCAAGTCCAGGACTCGAAGTGCTGTCGGCCATGTGAGTGTGTCCAGCACCTTAACCATCATGCCACCTACTGGTCCCCTAAATAAAATAATTCTTAAAAAAAGAAAAAAGAAAGAAAACACTTGTGGCATACATGTGTTGGTGCCCAGCCAGCAGCCAGTGGCATGGTGGTTAAAACTGTTGGATCCTGGGATCAGCAGATAGCATAATGGCTATGTTGCTGCACTCCCATGTGGTCTACCATGGTTCAAGTCCCGGACCCGGTTGCTTAAACATGCTGTATACATAGGAAACCAAGCAAGGACCCCCTAATGTATTTTCTAAGATTCTTGAAGGTCCATTTACATTGTAATGGCCCGGAGTAAGAAGTAAGTCTTCAGATTTTTGGTTATGATAATGACCATCATGGACCATGAGTGAGGGACATTTGACCTCCAACTCTCACTTAAAGTAAAGAAAAGGTTTTCATTTCAATATGTAAGATGTTTTATAGGCTGGAAACTGCTGATTGTGAGCTCAAAGACTCCAGGCTGAGTGGCTCCAGATACCTGAAGAAAACTGTGATTATCTAAGGCCTCACCAATCAAGAATGCCCACGAGATGATCACGCCCTCTTGAATCAATCACTGAACTGAACATGCGCCTGGGATCTCTGCCCCTAATATTACCCTTAAAAACATATGCAGGGGGGAACCAGCATTTAGCGTAACGGCTATGTCGCTGGACTCCCACGTTGTCGACTGTGGTTCGCATCCCGGACCTGGTGGCTTAAAACTCATGCTGGGTGTGTGTGCGTGCGTGCCCAAGATCCCGAGAGGAGAATGGAGGAGAAGGGATTGTGGCATGACCATCCCCCCTGGGGGGTGAGTTCTCGTTTTCTGTCTCTATGTCTCTCTCTGTCTGCCTGGCGAGCGCACGCGCCCTATAGCAAAAACCTCTCCACAAAAAAAAAAAAAAAAAAAAAATGCAGGGAACATCTCGGGGAGACTGGGTCTGTTCAGCATGAGCTGCCCACTCTCCTTGCTTTGCGCTTTGCAACAAAGCTGTACTTCCCTTCAACACACCGTGTGCCTGTGGTTTGGTTTTATAGTGCTTGGCTGAGCGAACCTGATTTGAGTTTGGTAACACATGTGAGTCCAAGATCCTGAGAGGAGAATGGAGGAGAAGGGATTACGGTGTGGCCATCCCCCCCCACCCCCGGTGGGGAGTGATTTCTCTTGCTTTCTGTCTCTCTGTCTCTCTCTGTCTTTCTGGTGGATGCATGCGCCCTATAGCAAAAACCTCTTAAAAAAAAAAAGCCTGTTGGATCCCACATGACCAACAGTTCGAGTCTCAGAACCAACAGCTTGAAAAAGACACCTGGCGAGTGTGTGCTTGCTCAAAATCCAGA